TTCAGTCATCTCCAATCAATCCTTCCCCCAGGTGTTCCTCATTTCCTCATTCCCTCTGTTAGTTTAAATACTGGTCATTTACTCCACACCCTTGCTGGATCATTTTATGGTATTATCCTTCTGTCAGTTGTCCTTGTGCTCCCCGTGTCTCCTTCGTATTTATTTTTTGTTTAGCATCTTTTTATTTTGTTTAATAAATATTTTTATAAAACTTCATCCTTCATCCGGACTTGGACTCATTCCTCGCCTACAAAATGACAGAATGATCCAGTCACATCACGAGTCCACCGGGAGGAAGAATGTTTTGGACTTTTTCAAGAAAGAGAACCTTGGGGTGGAGTTGGGATGGGGGGGAAACTGGCATCCCACTGGCCTCTGCCCCTTCTTCCTCTCCTTTTAACTACACTATAGAACAACACGCAATCAGTAGCACATTTGAGGGTGGGGGTATGTGTGTCGGGGTCTTCTTTTATTTATTTATTTATTTATTTCTCACTCCCCCATTTCCCGATTGACGTCTGGGGGTGGGGCCCTGGTTGGGGCACGCCGCCGGGTGGGGGCCTGGACTGATGGTGGACTGAGAGCTTGGGGGGGTGCCGGGGGTCGGGCTTGCACTCTGGCTTCCCTGGAGCTAATTGGACACCTGGGATGTGGCTCCTGATTGACGTGGTCGGCCTGCAGACCGGTGGGGTCACCGGGCTCTGGCGGGTGTCAGCTGGGGGTGTACCCCTGGCCGTTGGCGGTGGTTGGGGGATTGTCGGGGCGTGGCCTTGCTGGAGCGGAGGTGGCCGGTCGGGTCGGCGCGGTCCAGGCCGGGACTTGGCCGTCTGCTCCTCTCCACCCCAGAACAAATGGGTTTACCTTCTGGGTTCGGGTGTGGGCCGCCCTCAGCGGGGTACGGGGGCATACCCTGGACCTGGGGGGTATAGAGTGTGTATCGGGAGTGTGAATGGAGTGTGGCATCTATATTGTATGTCTTTGGAAGAGTGGGTGCGAGGATGAGGGTGGGATTGTATGATTGTGTTTGTGTATGCGTGGGTATGTGTCAGGCTGGAACGTGGACTTTCCCCTCCCCTGGTTCGTTTGTCGCCCCCATCCCATACCACCCTATGGTGGGGGTGCCTTGCCCGCCGGCGCGCGGATGGCTCTTGGGGTCTGGTGCTGGGTGCTCGGGTGTGTGCTAGCTTGACCTGGTGGCTGCCTGTTGGGGCTTGGGTCTCTGGCCCTGTCGGGTCTCAGCTTGGGGGGTGGGGGGCGCCCTGGGGGCCAGGCCCTCTGTGCCCATGCTTATGCTTGCCCTTGCACAGTGGGTGCCGGCGGGGGCCTGCATGCTTGTCACTGTGGGCCATTGTGGGGCTGCTGCGCGTGGTTGCTGGTATGGTTCTCCCGGGTCTCCCCTTTGGCTTGACCTGGGGGTGGGTGTGCGGCTCTCCTCGCGTAGGTGTACCTGGGGGCCCATGCTTGGGGTTCCTCCAGGGGTCTTTGGCTCTGGTCTCCCCTTATGTCTGTCTCGTGCCTTGGGGGTCGACTCCGGGACTCCCCCACAGTCACTTTTATACATTCTGTTGGAGAAATCCTGTATATTTATGCTTGCTCACAACCACACGCAGACAGGTGTTCAGATCCAAGGGGTTCTGAATGATCACCAGGTGTATATGTGGGTGTTTATCTGTCTAAATGTATACTGTAAATGTATGCTTTTGCTAAGTTTTGTTACCTTACTTCTTTGCAGGTGTGCAGACAGAAGTTTTGTATCGTTTTCTTGACGTAAATCTCACATATCATCAATTCTTTCTTTCACTTTTTTCCATTACTGTGTAACTTTTTCTTTCCTTTCCTTCTTTTTTCCCTTTCTTTCTTCTTCTTTCTTGTCTAGCTATAAAAAAAGCCACTGATGATGAAGAAGACATTAATATTCAGATAATCAGTACTGCTTTCTACTGAAGTGGCAAAGAAAAAAGAAAGAAAGAGAACCTCTTTTCACCACTCAGTGAATGGGGTAAAGGTTCAGAGCGGAGAGCGGCCAGGACTGAACTGGATCAGCTGCCTCAGTCTGTCATCTGGGTGGGAGGCTTTCAGTTGGCACCTGCTCAGCCCACCCGGAGACGTGCTTGTCGGGAGCTGGAGATTGAGGTCCTTCCGTCCCCTCTACTTCTGGAGGAGGAAGAAGAGAGAGCGAGGACTCAGTTCTGGGGATCTTGCCTGGCAGTTAGACCCGCTCCACGATCTGGATCTTCTCAGCGTCACCGTCGCCGAAAGAAAAAGGCGGCGGCATCTCCTGAGCCTGAGTTTGACCTGGATTATGATCCTGAGCTTGACCCATTCTGCCCCGAGTACATCGGGTACTGCTCGGCCAGGTCGATGGTCCCCGTTCCTCCAGTTCCGCCTCCGTCTCGCCCTCCAGCGTCTTCCCCGAGACGTTCCCGGACATCGCCTCCTCCTGTGCCACTTCTGAGGAAGTCCCGGATGCCTCTCACCTCTGTGCCTCCTCCGAGAGGTTCCAGCACTGCCTGCGTCCTGAAGAGGTGGGACGCTTCCACCTCCATTTCTGCTCCGGCGAGACTAGATGCATCCACTGCCTCTCACCCTCAGGAGAGGATTGATGTTGCTACAACCACCTGCTCTCCAGCGAGGCTGGATGTGTCTACCTCCATCTCTGCTCCGGTTAGGCTCAACGCCTTCACTTCCACCCTCGCTCCCCAGACGATTGACACCTCGACTGCCCCCTGCGCTCTCCTGAGGGTTGACGCTTCCACCTCCTCTGAGGAGGGTCTTAGGAGGGAGGAAGTTTTGGTGACCACCCTGGCTGCACTGGCGGTGTTCGTGGCCACAGCTCTGGTGGAGCTTTGTTCCCTCCTGTCGCGGTTCCTGGGACGGAGCACACGGAGCCAGAGTCGGAGCCAGAGCCTACATCTGGGTCCTCGCCGCCTGCAGCTGAGTCATCCTCGCCGTCTACAGCTGAGTCCTCCTCGCTGTCTGCAGCTGAGGACTCCAAGCCGTCTGCAGCCCCCAAGGTGGTCCACGACCCTGCTGCAGTCCCAGCCAAGCTCTCATTGCCAGCTGCAGCCCCCCCTGAGCTCACGCCGCCTGCTGCAGCTAAGACCGCTACGCCACTTGCTGTAGCCTAGCCTCCATCACTGTCTGCTGCAGCCCCATCATCTTCTGGTCCTGCAGAGTCTCCTCCAGAGCCGGCCCCTCTAGAGCCGGCCCCTCCAGAGTCTCCTCCAGAGCCGGCCCTTCCAGAGTCCCCTTCAGAGCCGGCCCCTCCAGAGTCCCCTTCAGAACCGGCCCTAGTCTCATGAGCTCCATCCTCACCGTGGCAGAGCTCCAGGTCGCCCACCAGAGCTCCATCCTCGCCGCAGTTGGGCTCAAAGCCGCCCATCTGAGTTTCGCCTCCGACGCGGTCGGATTCACGGCTGCCCTCCAGAGCCCCGTCTTCGCTACGGCCGAGCTCATGGTCGCCCTCCGGAGCTTCCTCCTCCTCTTTTTAGATGCACCTTGGGCCATATTTGTGACTGATTTTTGTTGTTTTTTCCCAGGTTTCTTCCTGTCGGTTTTTTGGTTTCGTTTTTGTTTCCTTTGTTGTATTTTGTTTCATGCCCTCCGTCCTGTCTTTGTGTTTAGTACCCCCTACCTTCTGCCCGTGCTAGTTCCTTAATCATCGTAGATGATTCTTTGTGTTTCCACCCTTCAGTTATCCTCAGCATATTTCCTTGCCAATTCTCAGTTAATCATCCTCACCTGTTCAGTCATCTCCAATCAATCCTTCCCCCAGGTGTTCCTCATTTCCTCATTCCCTCTGTTAGTTTAAATACTGGTCATTTACTCCACACCCTCGCTGGATCATTTTATGGTATTATCCTTCTGTCCTTGTGCTCCCCATGTCTCCTTCATATTTATTTTTGTTTAGCTGCCCTTACAGCTCTTTATTTTGTTTAATAAATATTTTTATAAAACTTCATCCTCCGTCCGGACTTGGACTCATTCCTCGCCTACAACACGACAGTTTTGCTCAAAATATTGCAGTGCATACAACATTATTGGCGACATACCAGAGTTGAAAAGAGGACAAACTGTTGGTGCACCTCTTGCTGGCACATCTGTGACTAAGACAGCAAGTCTTTGTGATGTATCAAGAGCCACAGTATCCAGGGTAATGTCAGCATACCACCTAGAAGGACGAACCACATTCAACAGGATTAACTGTTAAAGCTGGCAGTATGGTCACTCGACAGTCGACGGGTCGACGCGCCCTCACGTGGTTGTTTGGCATTCGTTTCCACACTTACCTTTTATAGTTCCCGAGCCGAGCTGCTGGGAAAACCCTCCCGCTCCAGCAAACGTCACTGCATGGGATTCCTTCCCCGGGGAGTGCAATGCGGGGAAAAAAAGTCTGTGGCTCTTCACTCGACATGGTTTATCCACAAACTGGTCCCATTTAAGCTCCAAAGTTTTCATCACTCAGATTCCACCGTGAAAAATATCTGTTCTATCCCTTTTATGAGTTTTTGGCCATTGACTATCTTTAAATTGCTGCTTCCTGGTACAACAGTCGGCTCTAAAAGCGATTGCTTTTTTTTTTCTTCTTTTTTCCCTTTTTTTAGCGAGTGGTTGAAGCAAATGCAGCATCCTTCAGCACAAACAAAACTCCCACGAACTTCTGACCAATCACACCATAAAGTTCATATGTAGTGATGGGCAAATGAAGCTTTTCTGAAGCACTGAAGCTTGCTTTGAAAAAGGGTTCATTACTCGAAGCTTTTCAACATGGTTCTCTTTGGCTCCATCCTGTGGCCAAATGTATGAAAAGCCGCTTCAAACAACACAAAGTGAAGCGCTTCATCATGATGGAGTTGACAGCTGTTTAATACATATTTCTGTTAGATATCAGGTTGTCATTGTGCTGCTTTGAACAGTTTTTTTTTTTTGTGTGTGTGTGTG